GAAAAGGTGCGTCAGGAATTGTTTTCATGTACCTCAAGTGCGAGTCGATCGATTCGACTGCGAGCGCGAGCGACGTAGTCGGGCGATGTCAATGCTGCAGTTCGCATATTACGTGACTGCCACCGATTTCGACGACCCATGTATTTGCCTACCGCGAGCGACGGTATTTGCGCGCTGAGATTTTCCAATTAAACTGTGATTAATTCCGTGACGGACGGTCAGAACGTGCACCCTGTTGTTTACAACGGAAACGAAAGAAGTCGAGAGAGGATGAGAGAGGGAGCTAGAGAGAGAGAGAGAGGGGGGGGGGGTGGCAGGAGAACAGAGAGATAAATAGATAGAGAAAGAGTAAACGCGGAGAAGATCGATGAACGGGAAATCGATGTTAATCTGATTTCGGTAGTCGAGCAGGGCGAGCAATTTGCTCGGCTCCGGAAAAGCGCGTACGCGCCGCGAAGAGATACATATAGATCGCGGACCGCGAGAGCGTTTACTCGATAAGCGACGTGTTATCCCGTTAATGCTTTAACAACGCGCGCGGAGCAACCGGCACAGCCGAACGGAATTTACGGTACATCGAGCCTTTTTTTCCGGCGGGAGGCAAACGCTAGCAAGAGCGCCCAAGTACCGCGTGACGATTGATAGATGTGTGCCAGCTGTGCAAATAAATTTGCGTATCCGCTCGTAAAAGCCCGCCATTTATTCTCGTTATAAGCGCGCCGCGTTTTGCAGAAATTTCGCGAAGATATCGGATGGAAAAAATGCCGCTTTTGCGATCGCTTCTCGTTTCATCTCCGTCAAATGAGTCATTCGCTCGGCTTATATACAATGATATTGCGAAGAATTATCGAGAATACTATCGCGTCGTGCGATAAGTCGATTGCGCGATTTCTTCAGAAAATGAACGATATACTGACTATATATATATATATGTACACTCTTAATTGGGTTTAATAACATCCGTAGTTATGAAACTGATCAACCGTAGCTGTTCCTCTGAAAAATAGAATGACTAGTGATTGGCCAGTTTCGGATGTTATTAAACCCGATTAAGGCTCAATTCCGCAACGATTAACTCTCAAACCGAGGCTATTCGAATTCTAGAATTGGTAAGAGAGATGAGGAATAAAGTGAACCTAGATTAAGAGTTAACCACGGATTGTGGAACTGGACTGGTCTGGTTTTTCATTGTGGTTTGGTTAACTCATGGTTAGGCTCAACCTGATATTTTATCCAATAGGCTTCATCTACGATGATGTCACGGATGAAGCTCATTAGGTGAAATATCAGGTTAAGCTTAATAACCGCAAGTTAACCAGATAATGAAAAACCAGGCCTCAGTTAATCCCGGGAATGACCGCGTATGTCAACATGTGTATCTCGATAGCAGACGCTATCGCGAACCGCGACGCTAAAAACCAGCTTTCCGTCGGTCTAGCGACCTTTAATGTAACTCGTCGTAATGCTCGCATTCGTGTAAAGCGAATACATACGGAGGAGTCGTGAGTCACGCGGCATTAGCTCCAGATTGTTGTCCTCAACGGATTAAGCCTTGAAGAAATTAATCGTCTCGTCTCCGCGTGCATGAGCGAGAGTGTGCGACGTTTTTAATAGAATTAAACCGATCGACGGGCGTGCGCGTATGTTTTGCTGTCTCAGCAAAATGCGAGAGGGAAAGCGAATTTAAATGGATTGAGAGACGAAATGGATTTATTTATCTCCTCTTACACCGCGTTACCTCGATCAAACCAGTTTATTCGATAGCTAAACTGTCCACGTTTGCTTGCATAAAAGAAATTTCCGATACTAGCGAGGCGGAAATGCGGTAACGGTTGCTCGTATTTAGCATTATGCTAATAAACAAAGCTACGTTTTGCGTTCGTTTCCAACAACGAAATCGCTATAGGACAGTCCAATGGATAAATAACAGGAAACAGTTTATTTAGCATTATATTCGACTGCGTCGTAGGATGATCGTAAGATGAGTTTTGTTATCTATTTTAACTAAATTACAAAAATATAATTGGAATACGATTCATTATAGCTCGTTTATCATCGTGAGAATTATGACATATACGGTAGACAAGAATTAAATTGGAAAATAAAAACAGCAATTTATCCACTTCAACTTTATCGTGTCAATTGCGTTACGTCTAGCGATGTGATCGCTGAATACATCAAATTATATTAAATAAAGAACGAGAATCTTGAAATTGTAATTTCTTAAACTCTAATATAACTTAAATGTTCTGAAAATGTATTTTCCCTACTCTTTAAAACTTTTAGAGTGATGAATGCCTAAAGAGTGAAATCTCTCACTCTTAAAAATTGAAAACTGAGCTATTCTTTTTTACGACTGGCTCAATTTCCACTCTTTAGAGTGAGAAATTCCACTCCAAAGAATTTATAGACTCTTTGGTTATTTTACGTTATTATTTCAATTTCTCACCTTAGATCTAGATATTTTATATTTTTAAGCACTGTAAACGTTTCAAATATTAAGATATTAAGATATTATCAAAATACTTTCGAGAAAGAGGAATTTATGAAAAGTTCCCGAATATTCAAAAATCCCGCGTTTTGAGTGCTGAAAGCAACTCGAGCTTTCACGCGACTCGAAAATCGTTTCGCAAACATTTGCAGGAAGGATTGGAACGTCTATCGTTAATTACGTCCATTTCGTGAGGTTACGCGATACGATATCAAGGCCGCGACTGTCGTCACCTGTTCTCGCGCTACATAATTGCGGTCGCGGAACGGAGTAAAATCGAGCAGCGACGACGCGACCGTTGGCGTGTCGGGTCGGGTGTATTACGTCGTAGGATATGTACCTACATACGTCGCGTCGTCGGCGTGGCACGGAACTCGAGCCGCCGCGCGCCGCTCTCGGTTGCTCTCGGTCGTCACGTAATAACACGCGGCCGCGTGCGTGCCACGGCGCGGCGTGTCGCACGCGTGAGACCGCGGCTGCTTAAGCCCATTCTACGTAAGACGCAGAACGCAGGGCGCAAGTCGCAAATGAAACGTATTTCAAGCCCATTCTACATAAGACGCAGAACACGGGTCGCAGGTCGCAAAACTAGAAACTAACCTAACGTATTTTAATTATGATATGATTGTAGGACGCAGGACGCAGAAAGTTGGGTCAACTTCAACTTTCGCGTTCTGCGTCCTACGTATTGCGGTCTTGCGACCTATTACAATCTGAAATACGCTTCACTTGCGACCTGCGACCTGCGTTTTGTGTCCTATGTAGAATGGGCTTTAGGTTAGTTTCTAGTTTTGCGACCTGCGACCCGTGTTCTGCGTCTTATGTAGAATGGGCTTAAGTTTACTGCGTCCTGCGTTCTGCGTCCTACAATCATATCATAACTAAAATACGTTAGGTTAGTTTCTAGTTTTGCGACTTGCGACCGTGTTCTGCGTCTTATGTAGAATGGGCTTTATGTAGAATGGGTTTTACGTACCCACGTCGCGCGTGACGCCCGGTTCGTTTCGTCCCAGCCGATTATTTGCGACGAGATTTGCGAACGGTTCGCGCTCGCGTGCGAATCTAAATATACGTCACTCCTTATTAATTATTTTCAGCACTTTGACCCTTCTGTCAATACATAATTTTTTATCCTTGTACTGCTGTGTTTCACAAGATTTCCTACTAAAAATTTCAAAGTGAAAACGAGATACAGCCTGTGCGAAATTGTTTTCTGTTGTTTCAGAAGTGAGATTTTTTAGAGGTTATGACGATTCGTATAAAAGTATTTACTGTTTAAAATTCGATATATGGGTACCCGGATACGTATATATTGACGGAAGGAATTAAAGACCGATATCATGAAACCACGAAGCGACTTTGTATTACACGCCGACCAAGGATAGCAATTGTTTGACGGTTTTTCGATAATTGATCTACCGATTTTCGCGTAGCTTCACGAAATGGATGGACATGAATTAATGTATCACTATTCACGGCTGATTTTTTGAGACGCTCTCAAAGTTCCCGTTGAATTGGAGTTTTGCAATGAGAAGATGAGCATGTAGGCCGAGAAATGTCACTCGGTCAGTTTTCTGCGCAATCAGTTTAGTCTCCGCGTTTATAATTTTACATGAGCTTGTAGTTTGGTCGCGGGCTTATCAACGTTCATGGGTGACAACAAGCGGGAGATAAGAGCGTTGAGGTACCGAGTGGCGTGAATATCACATGAACGTCTGTTTCGCCACTCAACTTCTGCGAGAGAGAGAGAGAGAGAGAGAGAGAGAGAGAGAGAGAGAGAGAATCGGAAAATCACGCGATGAAACGAAAAGTGTAGAAAATTGTGCGCAAAAAGTCACTTTCTGCCTCGAAATCCATCGGCAAACTAACAACCATTAGTCGCATTCAGTGGAAAAAGCGCAGCTTTGCAACTGTGAGATTTTTCAATATGACTGGCTCATACATTTATATTCATTGAGGAGCCACGAAACAAAGTGTAAGAATCAATTATATTAAAAAATGTTATAGCATTTTTTCTTGGAAAAACTAATACAATACTGACGCAATTGAGTGCAAATCGCTTTACATATTTTCAATGTTCAAATAATTTAATCCTTTTAACGTTGCACTAACACTAAAAATATATTAATTGATTTGCTTTTAACTACACTGAGCGTGCATTAGTGTTGCACTGAGTTTTCCCAGTAGAAAATTCAGCTACTTCAATATTTATAAAACAGCCTTTTCCGTTAAACTCCAGCATTAACCGACGAAGCGATAACAAATATTAACGCTCGTTGCTCGACTTTGCACCGTTCGCTCTCTTGCGGTGTATCCTCGATCGTTCGGGAAAAAAAAAAAAAAAAAAGAATGCACGATTACGCAACGCGAGGTATGCGCAGCGCGTGCACCAGCGTTACGTGTCCCGTCGCACCCACGCGCGTGTGTCAAGATCATCATCTCGCGAGGAGGCTTCGGAAGGTCGAACTCTTATGAAACAATCGCATTCCAGAATTCTCGGGATACTCACGTGTTTCTCGATGTACGAGCGATAACGTCATTCGTTTCTCCGTTATCCCGACGAAGTGAAGTCGTTCCCTTCAATTTCCGTTCCTGTACCGCGACTTATCCACACCGCGGGAGGTCCTCGAGAAACGCGGAACTTCCTTTCCTCTCTTTCACACTCTCCGAAACACTCGCGTCGAAGACGTGGGGCGGACAGGTCAATCGGCGCGGCGCAAGTACTTCCCACTGGAGTAATTCCACACGCGTCGCGGCGGGCGCGTCGAGTTGGTTCGTACAAAAGTAATAAAAAGGGTGGAGAGGGGGTTGGGAAAGGATAAAATAAATGGGGAAAAAGAAAAAGAGTGCTGATGCGGGATGCTGAGTGGGCACGGAAACGGCGGTGGACTTGCTCCTCTCCTCTTCTCCTATCACTCCACCCGATTAAACTGCTCTTCGGCCTTCGGCGAACGTGGCAACTCGACGACGAGGTCGCGGCGACTCCGCGGCGCGCGAGGCACTGAAAAGGGAACTCGTCGCGCGCGCACGCGTACACGTTACGTACACACACGCACACGATACACATACACCTCGCGGCCTCCCCTCTCGCGTACCTGTGCGCGCTGCTGTGTCCGCAGTTACGTGGGTGTCTCTCTCCCTCTGAGTCCTCCGGTGCGCGAGAGGTAGAAAGAGAGAGGAAGAGAGAGAGCGTTTTATCGCCCCTTCCTGCCCGCCAAGCGATCCGTGCCGCGCCGCGCTTTCATCTATGTGCGAAACAACACTCGCGAGTGCCGCTGCGAGACTGGAACGTGGGGTAACATGTGCGAGCTCTTACATAGCGCGGCGTAATGGTGGGACGGAGGAAAGGGTGGTGAGGACGGTGTAGTAGGGATGGACGGATTCCCACTCCTCGAGGAGAGTACTCCGGAGTAGGGAGCTGGCAAGGACGCGGGGCTTCGCCGCGACGTCGACGTGTCAGCCGCTCGCCGAGAGCGAGCGCACTTGACTTGTCGTCGCTTCGGTGCACACTTCGCACACTGTCTCTCTTTCTTGCTCTTTTTTTCTGATTATGTATCGTTCCTTTGTTTCAAAAGGGACGTAACTTGCAAAAAATTTAGTTTTCCAAAAAGAACTTGCGTAAAGTACGTTAAAATTTTTTTAACATTCTAAACGTGTGTCAAAGTTAAATAATATATGCGCCAAAATGGAATGAAAAGAATAAAAAAAAGAATATCTGGACAGAAAGAAAAAAGCAAATATAGAGACATAAATTGATTTTATTTAAAAAAATAAAAAAAGATTGGAGATCGCGTAGAAGGAAACGCGAAAAGCATGTATAACAGTGTATTTTTCAACTTGACAAAAAATTATCAACTAATCCAATATAATATCGGCGAAAAGTAAATGTCATTTTTATTACTTTTGTTTCATAACTCTAAAAAAACAATCTTTTTTGAATTCAGACCATTTTATAATTTTTTATGAAGTTATAAGTTTTTAGTTCATTTTTTATGATTGAAAATAATGTTTATTCGATTTGTTCGATAGTAATAATTCTAAAATCACGTTTGTCGAGTTGTGTCACTTTTAAAGGGAGCGATATCTCTTTGTGATTACAGCTCGAGGCATTCGTGTATGCTCTATGGGTTGCTTTCTGCTCCCCGATTTTTTTTTTTTTTTAATAAAATCAATTTATCTCTATCCATCTGCTTTACACTTTTCCCTTTGTGTCTATTGATATCCCATTTTTTTTTCTTTTAGTTAAATTTAGCATATATATTTAACTTTAAAATATGCGCTCACACAATATTTAAAAATATTAAATATACTTTATGCGAATATATGCTTAACAAAAAATTACAAATTCTAAACTTTCGTTATAAATATAATTATTACATGCATGATGAAAGTTTAGAATTCATAATTTTTTGTGTTCACGAATATTTCTACATAATAATATATTTCCAGAAATGTGTTGAAAAAGGAACGCTAGATGTAATCTGCTCTTGTAGAACAATAACTCGAAAAGTTAAATTCGAAATTTAGACTACGTTTACACGGACAACTTTAATCGAATTTAATAACATACGTAATTATTAATATAAATTGGCCAATCTCATAACAATTCCTCTGAAGAATGGAATGACCGTGATTGATCAATTTATAACTACGAATGTTGTTAAACCCGATTAAGGGTGACCGTATCTTAATTACGTAGTCTTAATTACGATGAAACGGCTCGAGGGTTACCACAAATTTACATTACTGAACGAGCAAGTAAACGAGCACACGGCGCATAGAGAAGTGTCGTCGAGTTCTTTAATTTCTATTTTCCTTCGTCGTGACTTAGCCTAGAGTCGCTGTAAGTAGCGCGAATCAAAATGTAAAGCCTGTTCTACAATAGGTCGCAAGTCTCAAGCCGTAAGAAATTAAGCAAACATAATTTCTTACGGTTTAAGGCTTAAAACACCTATTATAGATCCGGGCTAAAGTCCGATCTACGGAAGCAGAATAATGCGGGTCGCAGGTCGCAAGACTAGAAACTAACCTAATGTACTTTAATTATAATAAGTTACAGGACGCAGGAAGTTGGGCGAACTTCAACTTTCGCGTCCTAAATTTTGCGGCCTACGACCTATTATAATCTGAAATACGTTCGACTTGCGACCTGCAATTCTGCGTTTTGCGTGTTATGTAGATCGGGCTTAACGCGCCCGCAAACGCGAAAGGAAAATTACTAAGTGCAGGAAGAAGATGCGTATCAGGACTTCCGCGATGAACTAAGACTGAGACGGAAGGTGCGCACGATTGCACGCCGACGTTCGCCGCGTGTTCAAGCCAGAGAAAAACGAATCCCTTTCTTACGCGGTAGACAGACTGGGCGGAGAGAAACGTTTCGTCTGTCTGCGATAACGAGAGGATCCCGTGCACCGTATACACGTTACCGACGTTACACGGCACCGACACCGGCGTGCGCGACACGCTCGCTCTCGTTGCGGAAGCAATTGTAAATCGCTTTGTGCCGCGTGAACGACGCGAACGTTAACTCGCATCTTAGGCGCGCGAATTCACCTTCAGGCGTTCGCCATTTCACCCGGGGTCTTTGTTGTTCGCGCCGCGAGCGGAACAATGACACGAAAGCGGCGTTCCTTCTGTCTTGGATTAGTTAGATTATGTCGCGATATCGCTAAGATACAGGATCTGTCAAGTTAGCACGTCGTTAAATTAATATAAGGAAAAAAATGACGGTTCCAGCATTTTTCATAGTTCTATACTCTGTGTTATCAAAATAGAAAAATTACAGTATTTTTTATATTAAGAAATAAAAAATGGAAATATGGCGCGCTAATTTCGCGAATCTAGCACTTCCCCTCTAAAGTACAAGAAAAAGAAAAATGTTTCCATTTTTGGCCGCTGTTCCCGTTAGTACTGCTCCAGTTGTACCAGGGTATATTAATAATTTGAAAATAAAGTTCCAACAATTACTAATTTTAATAGACTTTAAATGTACAAGATATCACGACATTTGGAAAAAAGTGTCACGTTGATCATTTATTGCAATTCCAGCGACATTTCTCGTTAGTTCTAGTAGAATTGTATGCTCTCTATAATAAGTTTTAAACAAAGTTTCGTCGGCTTTTTCATTTTGGTTTATTATGTACACGTACATATGCCATTCTTAATTAAACTACAAGATTGACTAGACTTTTACTTCTAGGAACTCTATCGTTTCACCGACACGCCCTGCGTGACTGATACCTGTCGAGTGTGTATAGAAAGGTGATCAACTCCTTAAGGAAAAAAAGAGAGACATTAACAAGAAATTCAATATTAATTGTCGTATTTAAATCGTAATAGATAAACGTTTTTATAATTATTAAAATGAATTGAAACATATTATATGAACAATGTTACTATTATTGTATTTATAAATAACTAATAATGTTTAATATAACATGAGATCACAAAAAAATTACATTAAATTATGAGATCATGTTTTATTTTTTTTAATTGTACTTTTCTATTGAATATATTTTATGGATAATGTCTGGGTTTTTAAATAAAAAAATTATAAATTCTTTACATATTAGTTCAAAATTACATTTTGTACTTATTATTTTCACTTATTATTTTCATACTTAAAAAGGGATAATTCATGTTCATAATTTGGAACGATTGATCGTTTTAGTATATGGTAGACTCGCAAACGCAGAGCATGGACGAATGGAAAGTTCGTTGAGAAACAAATAGCGAGCGTCGTGTTTTATGATTTTACTACTTTTGTGTCGTCTGTTCACACGGTTTACAATAGTAATATCAATTATTAATTAACGACACGAGGCACTGTTCGTCACTCAGCGTTGACGCAGGGTCTGTAAAATTATTCCAACACTTCCGGACACACGTGTGTACCGTGCGATTAAATCGCAGATTTAATCAACATCTCCATGATTTAATTACTCGACAGAATTATTTCAAAATTACTATCGCAATCGACTTCGCCGAGAATTGACGTATTTTACCGATTTGAGTAATAAAATTGGTGGGTTCAGGGACGCTGGTTTCACATCTTTTGTCGGTCCAGGGTATCTCAAGCACGTAATGAGGTAAAAGCGACGATCTTGTGCTCGCCGTGAGAACGAGCTACCAACGGTATCGCGTTTCTCTTTCTTTTTCCGCCGAAATCACCGGGGTAATTTTGTCGTCACGACGAGACGCGAGTCGTGCGTCTGCACGCGCATCCGTAAAATTTCACCGCACAATTTACGGAATTGAAGGTGCCGTGGAAACTGGCACGTGCTCGCCGTGCGAGGTTCACGGCATCGCGTTGCCCATCATCGCGGTTATATATCATCACGTTCAAACGAGGCTTCACCGTGGCCGTCGCCTTATCGCATTTCCGTTCACGTTTTCCCCTGCTGCCCGTATACATCGCACACGTTTCCACCTTTCTTGCGTTCAGCGTCTTTCCAGGGCCGATCCTACCTGCAGGATCGATAATTACTAACTATGTACTACGAGCTCTTCCTTAAACAGGAATGTTTCAGTATATCTCCAATAACAGCTTCGATAAAGGCTCTTCAATAAGAGTTTGGATACGAACCGCAGTTTTGTATATGCAGAGTAGTAGTTTTAACAAAGATCGACTTTTTTTTCTCTTTTCTCATTCCGTTCTACTTTTTTCTTATTTTTATTTCTTTCTTTTTTTCCCCTCAGGAATTGTTAAAACATGACGGATCAATAAAAAGTAGTTTTTTCATGTCCAAACTCTCATTAGAGAGCTCTAGGCTCTGACCTACCAATTTAGATACAGAACTGCAGTCGATATCGTCCCGCATCAGTTATTTTCTGGCTCTCTTTTCTCCTCTGAAAATATGAAAAATAACGAATCGATGCTCCGACCGATTTCCTCCTCGCAATATTGCAATTTTGTTTCCGTGGGTCAACGAGGGAATCCGTCATCCGCTGATGCCATCGAGAGAGAGAAAGAGAGAGAAAGATTCATCAACGTATTCGCGCGGGATGCGTTTTTTACGCATGCAACGCACACCGAATCGCGCGCTCGCGACAAAAATAAATTGGAGAAAATCGCCCGGCGGGTAAGCAGGCAAGGGAGGCGAGAGGAAAAAAAATTGAAACGGGGAGGAAAAAAAATACCCGCTTCGGGATGCGGGAAGTGAACTTCTCGCGTGCGAATAGGCAATGTCAAATATTTGTGCGTAACAGTTGCGTGTCACAATACGAACGCGGTCACGTGCGCATTTCGACGGGTTCCTATTTGTAGTCGATATAAACGAAAAATAAAATAGGAATAAAAAGAAAATCGCGAAGGCTAACGCCCCAAACACAATACGAGAGAATAGCGCTAGCAATAGGAATAACACGATTTCAATCTTTATCAGAAATCGAGTACACCGGAATACGCAGTCTCTGATAAGTTGAAATCGTGTTATTTCTATCGCTATTTTCTTGCATTGTGCCTGGGGTTTAAATATTTCTATCGTTCGGAATCCAGATACAAATATTAGAGTTTAAAAATTGTCTGCAGCGACTCCGCGTAACGTTGATCACGAATGGTGCAAATAATCTCAG